CATTCCCCATGTACTGTAGACTCCTAGAAAAACTCAGGCTGCCATATTTTCTAAGACTGAATTCCACAGTTGTTCCTTCCTATACCAATGGAGCTTAATTGGAAGTAGACATTGCACCCCCCTCCCCGCCCCCTTTTCCCCCCTTCCCCCCCACATATTTAGCAAATGTCTGCAAACATTTTTAGTTATCATAATTTGGGGGGTGGAGGGTTGACCTAGTGACATCTGGTGGAGAGAAACCAGGGAGGCTGCTACCCATACTACAGTGCACAGACCAGCCCCCACAACTAAGTGTTGTGGAAACACAACACGTGACTTGACCGCACTGGACATAGAGTATGCATTGTGTACTCTGTGTGTATCAATAGCACCGTTGGGAGCTCTGACTGAGATGAATTTACTCTGTGGTTTAAGTTAACCGTGGTTGGCATCTTTTGCTTGCAGCCAGAGATTTGGTTAGGTTGTTATGATTTAGTTAATTGATTAATTGAAAACAGTGGGGTGTTGGTGCTGGGACTGGTCTTATTTGACATTTGCCTAACTGATGTGGAGGAGGAAGTGGGGGGAGCTCCACATTTGCCGATGACACTTTGCGGTGCCAGGTAGTGAAATACCAAGCCCCTGGTGATGAGCTGCAGGAAGATCTCACCAGGCTGTGTGAGTGGGCAGAGGAGGTGCCAAGGCTGAGCTTCAGTGTAGGCAAGTGCAAGGTGCTGCAACTGGCAAAAAATAATCTGAGCTATACTTAGAGGTTAAAAGAGGATGGAGCAGAATAGAAGAAAATGAATAAAAGCTGAACGAACTCCAGAGGGCGATCCCCAAGCCTGATTCCAAGGCCCACCTGAGCTCTAACTAAGCATGTGGCTTACGGACTCAGGCACTGCTGCTTGTTTTCTGCTCCTGGTTCTTCCTTGGTTTTGGCTCTTTCTGAAATGAACTTGCTCTGCGTTCCTGATCTCCCTTCTCCAAGCATCCTGACTAGATACCCTTCCATCTCAGCTGTGCAGCTGTTCATCAGCGGGAACAACACAAGCCTGTAAGAAGTATTTCCAGGTTCACATGTAGGAAACTAATATTCCACTGGATGACTAACTTGTAAAACTTCTGAAAATATGTATTAGATTGTGTGTAACAGAACCCTGATTAAAACTCTTAAATGACTTCTGAATGTTCTTAGGATCAAAACTCAAAGTGATTTAGTGTCCCTGGAATGAATGTCACATCCTCTAATCCAGCAGTCTCAGCTGATGCTGTTCTTCTCACTGTGTTGTGATACATCTTTACTGACTCGGTGTGTGTGCGTGCACGTGTGTGTGTGTGTGTGTGTGTGTGTGTGAGAGAGAGAGAGAGAGAGAGAGAGATCACAGGGCTTTGCACCTGTTGTTTTTCCTCCCTCCATACTACCCTCTCTTCACTTGGATAATCCCAACTCTTCCTTTAGATCTGATCGTCTTTTCTTTGACCCTCATTAAAAAAAAAAAAGCCCCAGCTTATTGTTTCTCAGCCTGATCTGCACTATAGTTCCCCTTCGTGACACAGGTCACAATTTTAGGTGATGCTGATTTGTGCATTTCCTTGTGTTGATACTGGTCTCCCCCACTGGACTAGAGTCCCGTGAGGGCAGTGGTCACATCTGTTGAGACTGGCTGTTTCTGGCACACAGTACAATAGCTGCTGGACAAGAGGAGCTTGATGAATGGATGAATGATGAATGTGTCAATGAGTGAATGCCAAGAAGTGAGGGCTTTTGTGCCTATGGAGTCATACAGACTTCCCTGAGGAAATGAGCTTGAGCTTGGCCTCTAGGAATGGATAGAATTCGGAGGGGAGAAGGGTGCACAGTTTATCAGCAAAGCCGAAGAATTGGGAGCTAGTTGTGTCTAGGGCCTCCCTAGGCTGATCACAGCAGAGGCTGTAGTTGGATCTCTGATCTAGAAAGTGAGATCATCTGGGGTGGGAGGGCGGGTGGGAAGTAACAGCCCAAGTAGAAAAATGCAAATCTACAAAGGATATCAAATAACAACAGCACATGTTTGCATGGTGATCTTTATGTTTCAAGTACTTTTGCAGGTGCTTTGTGAATGTAAGTTCATTTAATCCTCCCAAAGCACTGATGGTGTCCATTTGACAGTGGCGAAAGTAGAGAACGAGAGAGGTTATTTTATCAAAATTCTGGCTGATAACGGCAGCTACAGCTGCAGCGTTTGCATGCTTAAATGCTGTGCCAAGCTGCCAGAGACATAACTTTACGAAACAGAATAGAGAAGCTTCAGGGAGAAACCTCAGGCTCTGGCTTTGAGGTTGGCTGCTTGAGAAGGATGCTGCTTGTCCAGAAATACACAGGCTGGGAGAAGGACTTGCACTGGGAAAAAGCATATGGGACCTCATGACGCAGCAAGAGAAGGGAGGCGCACGGTGGGCAGAGCTTAGTGAGGGGCTCTGGAGTCAGGCAGTGAATGTTCAAGTACTTGCTCTGTTCTTGCAATTTCTAACATATAGCCAACGGCTTGACGTTAGTGACCCCTATAAGTTAAGATTAAACGAGACAACATAAGTGAAGTTCAAGGCCCATGTTTTGGTACACAGGGTGGGAGGACAGTGAATGCAAACCTTCTTCATGGACCTTGGGGCTGGGCTGGCCCGGGTTTGACCTGAGAAGGTAGTACCTGTTGAGGTCAGCAGCTGGGGCCAGCTGAGCTGTCTTCAGGCAAAGTTTTCTGGAGCTCCCGGTGCCAAAGCCTTGCAGGGAGCAGACCTAGACAGGGTGGGTGTCCTCCCAGGCTCTCTGATTCCCCAGCTTTTGCTGCTTGGTACTTGGCCCCACAGCACCTGTCCCATCCTGGAATCTTGCTCTCCACCCCGGTAGCTCCCCACGCGCCATTTTGTACAAACTCCCCAGGTAGCAGTTGCTGCTTCTACCACGTCATAATCTGCAACACCTACTTTCTCCATCTCTCAGAGCCTGCCTTTCTACGGGCTCCCGGAGCTGCTTTTCCCAAAGCAGAGGTTGGGTTAATTTGCCCTGACACCTGGCTGCCATGTTAGAAAGCGCAGAATCCCGCAGTGAGAAAGGCAGGCTCTTCCCAGATCCCTTTGTGTCCTTTTGATGAAATCAAGGGAAGCGTCTTCAGGTGCTACACTCTATTGAACACCATTCGTGCTTTCTTTCTTTCAATTGTGTGTGTTTTAACTTTTAAAAAACTGAACGCCTTCCTAACATTGTGGTTCTATCGTTTTCACAAAGAGGAGGCAGCCAGCCTTCCACTTAGAACAGGCAGCTAGGAGGTGGTGTGATTGTTTTGTTTTTATTGCATTTATTCTCCCAATTCAGTTACCATTTTCTTAGCAAGTAATTCCAGTTTTCTTTTTACAGTAGTAATATAAAGTTCGCTGTCAAGATATACTTATTGAAATAAAAAGTGAATCAATTCAAAGTGAAACATAAATAATTACCCATGGGTATGTGGGAAGGAAAGACTTCACAGGGGCTGCTTTTGCAAAGCAAAAGTGGCTGGGTTTGCATGTTGGTGAGGGAGGAAGCAGAGGTTGGATATAAATGCTGCCTCTGCCCATTTGTACCTAAGATCCTTCAATGTCCTTGAGCCCTCACCCCCTCATTTCCTCCCCTGCCAAAATGTGGATAATAACTCCCATGGCATATGGGGTTGCGTTAAGGATTTAATGAGATCATTTGATACATGTGAGTGCAATTTTCATGCAAGGACTGTCAGTGTTCAACAAAATGAATTGCTACCAGTCTATGCTCTACAAAATCTCCTGCGTGAGTGTGAGCCAGTGGCTGGCTTCTCAGGACATCATAGCGATGAGGGCTAGGCAAGTCACATGCCCTCTCTTGCCTCAGCTCCCTCCTGGAGATGAGAATATTACTGGGAAGATTAAGTGATGTCCTATGTGTACACAGTCTGATGCATCGCAGCACTAGTTAGCTGGTCGCTTGTGACCATAATATTGTCCCCTGAGTGATTGGAGCTCCAAGTGGAGAGCTGTTGGGAAGTGTCAAGTGCTGGATGTGGGTGAGGGCATGGCAGGAAGTCAGTGTCGGAGTGATGAGTCTATCTATCCTGCTTTCTGATACCAAATATTCAAAGGTGCTTGCACTCTCTCTCCCCAGCATCCTCAGAGTCTGCAACATACCCTGTTGAATCACTCCTATTGGGCTTTTATCTGCCTGCAATAATGCTAGGACAGCATCATCCAGCCTCCCTGCCCTTGATTCCTATGTTGAAGCCCTTATGTGTGTGTGATGTAATGAGCAGTGTGATGAAATGGGGCCTTGGAGGTAGAATCAGGTGAAGTCATAAGGGTGGGGCCCTTGTGATGACATTATAAGAAGAGGAAGAAAGGCCTCGCTCCCCTCCCTCATGGGCTTTGCAAGAAGGCATCTGACTACAAGCCAGGAAGAAAGCCCTCACCGAGAACTGAACCTATCAGCCTCCTGACCATGGTCTTCCCAGCCTCTGGAACTGTGAGAAATAAATGTCTGTTGTTCAAGCCCCCAGTTAAGAATATTTTGCTACAGTAACCCAAGCAGACAAAAGCAATGCCCACTCTGCCTAGATTCATCCTGACATTTAATAAAGAATAATGCTTATTTACAGTGTGCTGATCACTTTATACCTAGCACTTAGATTTAAGCCTCTCTACTTGACAGAGGAAAGCACTACTCCTCTATCCTGGTATACAGATGAAGAGACAGAGGTTGCAAGGTTAGCTGAACTTGATCCACATCCTAGAGCTATTGTGTGCCAGGGTCAGATTTTTGGAACCAGCACTCACAGGCTCATCCCCAGATAGCCCCGGGGGCCCCAGCGAAAGACTCCCCACTGGGAAGTACCTTGTTGGCCTCAAGAAGTGAAGGTGGTTTCCCTCTAGTGACAGCATGTTGGTTACCTGAGCTCAGTTTCCCACGGACGAGCCAGTTGATAGCAATCAACGTGCAGGAAGAACTCAGAAGAGACAAGACACCCCAAGTCTCTTGGTTACGACAAGGCCAAACCTTTAATAACATGAGTGCTTATTACATTAGCTGCTTCAGGGCTCTGACATCTTTGATTTCTGGTCATGATTTTCTAACACGGAGAGTTGAATGCCTCTCTCAGGACACCGTGGGCACCGGTGTCCTGAGGATTTGTGTGGACAATGGAGAGACAACTGTGCACACGCCTGGTGGGGGGCCCGGGGAGACCCCCTAGTGACCAACTGTGACTTTCAGTAAAGTCCTCTTCCAAGGAGGGAAGAATGTGGCGGTCCTTCTAGTAAAGAAGGAAGAAGGAAACATCTGGGACAGATACACAGAGAGGAATGATGTCAAGGGGACTGCTTTGAAAAAATAGGGAAGGGAGTTAATAGGGCTGGGAGGGCCAGGGGCAGAGTGGGGGAGGGCTGAGTCCATTTGGTTTCATTCTTTGCAAAAAGTAATACCATCACGAGGACCATGCCATGCAACCTCAGAGACACCTCTGGACCCTGCCCCCAAGGCTGTGCTGGGGCAGAGGGCAGAGGGCAGAGGGCAGAGGTCAGTTCATACGGGCGTGGTGCGCCTGTTGGCTGGATTATTATGCAGCGAATCTTTGAACTCTTTGGGCGTGGAGTTGTGGAACTGTAGAAAAGCATGGTCCCGGTCGGAGTTTAGCAGGGTCCCCATGGTGATCTTTGAGGGGTCCCGGGAGAGGGTGAACATAGAGATGTCAGTGGAAGGGATGGTGTGGAAGCCTTTGCTGATGGGGGAGAGGTCTCGGGATCTGGGCTCCGTGGAGCGAGAACTTGACCGCCTCCGGAATCGATACCTGTAGGGTGGAAGGCGAGCAAAGGTGGATTTCTTCAGGAACTCCGAGTGGGATCTGGCACGTAACTGCTGATGTTTTTCTATATAGATGTGCACAGCCACTACTCCCACGATTTCTGCGATGATGAAAGAGAAGGCTCCGAAGTAAAAGGACCAGCCGTACGAGTAGCTTTTTTTGGAGTCACGCTGCCCAGGGTCTCCCGCATTGGCTGATATATAAACTATGATGCCAATGATGTTGCTTAACCCTAAGAGAAGGGAAAAGAAAAACAAATCTTTTATAAACCCCAGCCATAATTGTCACTTTCGGTCTTGAACTATTTATAGAAAATGTAGAGGAAGAGGACGAGAGGAAAATGGATGCATGTCCAGGAAACCCAACGGCTGAGCTCTTCTTTGTCTTGTGGGAAACATTCAGTCCTGAAGGATGTGTGTTCAGCTAATGAATACATCCTACTCCCACAGCGAGTGCAGCAGATTTCAACACATGCATCTTCCCTAAGAAGCGATTCATTCCATCAACAATAAATTGCTGGCACTAAATCATAAGGAGGGTAAAACAAACAAGAACAGGTTCCTGGCATGTAAATGCAGCTCGAGCAAAATACAGTCAGCCTCCAACAAGGGCACATCGACAGTGGTTCAGGAGATGTGACCATCTGGAAAACCGAATAGGAGTGAGCCAGGAGATGCTACTGCCTATAAAATGTGAAAGGACTTATGAGGGTTCTAGCTCAAATGATGGGGTAGTAGGTGGCCTCAAGTTAAAATAAAGTCAGCAGAGGGACTGGGTTTAGAGAAAAGGGCAGATTTGGGGAGGCTGAGTTGGAAGTGCTTATCCAGAATTCAAATGTAGCAGAACAATGAATAGATATGCGATTGGGGCATCAGTTTGGGGAACAATTAAACCCCATAGGGAAAGGGACATTTGCTTATTAAGTCTTCTTAGCAGTACAGGGTAAGGTAATTGTTTAGACTGGCTCAGGAACTGGGGAGCATGAGGTTATTGCCCCCAGTAGGTAAGAACTGCAGACTTAACCCCCTGCACTTATGACAATGGAGTAGCACTGGAAGTAGCTGCCTGGCCAGTTGGAGGGGGATTGATGTCCTCAGGGAACGGTAAGAAGAAACCATGGGATCCGAGGTCCCAGAGCTGTTCTCATCTCTGGCCACCTTTTTCACGTCATTACTCTTAAGGCAGGATGTCTCTGTGTCCCTTTGCTTCAAGAACCTCATCCCGGCCTTGTGGCAAACAGTGACTCATAGAGATTGATACATTGGCTGGTATCCAAGTTTGGTCTACTTATAGGGTAGGACTAGATGAAGTTTGTCCTTTGCTGTACTTTCCAGCTCCAGTTGGTAATTGCCATTTCTAGTGGTCTCCTGAGTCCTCCATTCCTTGAATGTGCCATACTCTTTCTGGGATCCTCAGATTCTCCCCATAGTCAGCCGTTGAGAGTTTAATATTTGACACAGCTGGGGCACTGAACTCTGCTCCAGGGCTCTTTTTTGGACTGACTGGTGCTCATACATTAAAGGAAAGAATATTCTGAATATGATATCTGGCCATCTTCCACCTGGGAATTACCCCAAGAGGAAGGGCCAGTCTCTGCACTGTACCTTCTCTCTTGGAAAAGCACAGGCACTTAGCAGGTAGGTAGTGAGTTCTAACCCCTGAGCTATTTCCTAACATAGTACTGAGCTATTTCCTAACATAGTACTTGACACAACCAGTGCCGTGTCAGGCTGCAGGAAACCAAAGGACGAAAAGCAGCTCCAATTCCTGGAATGTCAACTTGACTTGAAGATTAGCAGGGAAAACATTCTTTTGCATTAAAATGAACACGGATATAATAAGGAAGAGAGAGCAGGATTCACATGAATTTTTAAGTGTAAATGGAAGACAGCCGTCAAAGACATTTCAGCTCAATGAAGGTGGCCTCCAGCAAAGTTCCCACCTCCCTTGCAGGGAAATTTTGGTGGTAACGTTTGGGAAGCCCACTCCCCCCAAAATGAAATGAATGCTTGCTGGGAAAAAAAAGAAAAGAAGTTCAAAGAGAGGCTCAGATGTCAGAGCAGGTTAGTTTTCTTTTCTTTACAGAGTAGTATGTGCCAGACTCGGTGAAGTCTGTGTGCACCATCTCAATTCATCATTGCACTGAGTTTGTTTTAAAAAAAAAAATTACCCACCTTGTACAGAGAAGAAAAGTAACTTCCTAATAAATGGAAATGATAAACTAAGAACTGCTTGTTATCCTCAGGTGGATTTAAATTTCAGTGACAAAACTTAAGAAGAACAAGATGTACGTGAGCAATCAGTTTCTCTCAAGCACCAGACTGTCAACTCCTAGAGGGCAGGGAGCAGGCTAATTTTGCTCAGAGATACACTTCTAGCTCCTAGTCCAGAGCCTAACCCAGGCAGGTGCATATCTGTTCATTGAATGAATAAATTTAGTTGCATGAACATTCAGTAGTAGGTACAATGTATGTAACAACAGCTACCATCTCTCAAGAAGTTACCGGGTGCTAGGTTGATTTTATGCCCTTGACCTATATGAACACATCTCATAACAGCCTCAAAGCAGATAGAATTGTTTTCTCCATTTCTCAGACGAGAAACCTGAGGCACTGACGGGTGAAGAAACCTGTCTGAGGTTGCAAAGCTAAGAAGCAGATCTAAGATTTGTACCACATCGCCACTTTCTTGGGCATGATGCACCATGCCTGGCATCCAGGAGATGCTTCATAAAGACATTGATTGCTTGTTGAAACCAAAGATTCTTAGAGCTGAGCAACTAATAGCCTTGGAAAGTGTTGAATCCTTCAAAACTTTCAGTTTATAAATGGAAAAATGTAGGCTGGGCTTGTCTGGGACACCAGTGGGAGGTCCAGGATTTGGCCCCAACCTTCTGGCTACTTTTCATGTTTCCCAGATCCCAAAGGTGTCTAATTCATCTTCCATTTCTCAGAATGCTACTCCTGAAAAGAAAGCTGCTGGTGTCACTCTTCCCTGACAATCCCCTTGAGGGAGAAAATAATGATCTGTTTAGGAAGCATTCATGCCAGCATATACACCCTCCTCTGGGTAAGTCAGAGCCCAGGAGGTCTAGTTGGACCACCAGTGACTACAGCATGCCTCCAAGCAAAACAGATCCGGGCATTTGCCACATGTTGCCAGGTATCCTTCGGGGCCACACCCGCTATAGGGCTGACCACATCCCCCGGCAAGATGGCGGCTTCCTTTCCTGGTTTGGTGCTTGAGTTGGTTCCCGGAGACACCGCTGGGTGTATCTGTTCAACTTCCCCACCTAATGGAAAGGGAAATCATGGAGAAGCAACCCAAGCGAGGTATAGTAGAAGGGCCAGGACCATGATGTTTCATATTTGGAACTATGTCCCGCCCTTCCAATGCTGGAAAACGAGACTGCGCTCTTTCCAGTCAGCCTCCTTCCAACATTCCTACTAGTAGCCCCTATTGTTATTTAACATTTTATAATGGAGCGAACCAAGCTACATAGACTTGGTAACATCCCCGAGCTTCCACAGATGAAGTTGGAGTTCAAATCCAGGAAGATCAGTCCTGGCACTCACCATTCTGTACCCTCCCCCCAGTTTCCATCCCGGTAGTTCTGTCATTATTATGCAAAGTTCGTAAGTCATTACCAAAGAGCCAAGCCTTCTCTCCCCTACAGCCCTGTTCTGGAGACATTTCATCCAGATGGGATTGATTGAGGACTGGGGTGGGAAGAGAAGGAAAGTGATGGAGGCACAGAGGAAAGGAGAAAATGAGGAGAGAGCAGAGGACAGGAGCAGAAAATGGGGGGAGACAGAGGCAGAGAACAGGACCCCTTCTCAGGACTATATCTCTCACAGTCATCCCCCGTGTTGAGAGCATCTGAGACTGCTGGGTTTACCTCATGCCCAGAGAACCTCAGAACAGTAGGATTTTTGAGATCTTAAAAAACTGTGAACAACATTTACCCAGCAAGTACCTGTCTCCAAAATTAGAGTGTGTGAACATGCCCAAGTGGTCAGAAAGTTGAAGCCTTTAAAACACACTGAGCCAGTCTCCGATGAGTGTACCACACCGACCCTCTGCAAACATGAGCTCTCTGATGGGTCAATCTCTTCCTTTCTGAGCTGAGCTGGCCTCTCCTCTGTACCTCAGCTTTCCTTTATTCCACTCCAATCAAGAGTCAGAATCTTGGATTTCAATTATAGTGGGTCCTTCTCCTTAAGACAACATATTGGCTATTTGCCTACACTGCATAGCATCACCGTGTGCTTGGGGGCCTGGCATGGGCTTGGTGTCTGGGAAGATCTCTGGGCTGGAGCCAGACTCACCTGCAGAGACAAAAAAGATGCCGGCGCTGAGGATGACGTTGTGTCTGCTGCGGTGGAACTCGCTGGCTGCTACGCAGAGCCCGCCGAAGAAGAGCAGGGTGACGCTGAGGATGGGGAAGACGCTGGAGGCCCTCACAGCCCCTGCGGGGGGGAGACAGGGTTCGGTCTGCACCCCAGCCAGCCCCAGGATCCACCCCCCACGCATGGGGGACCCTGAGGGCAAAATAGCACTTGGGCAGGACAGAGCCCGAAGATAACCTGGGGTAACCGTAGTACAGGACCCCACGCTTGCAGACCCCACTCTGCAGTCACTGGGGACTCAGAGCTTTGATTCTTGAGGGTCCCACCACCCACCGCCTCCCCACATTCACCCTCTTCTCTCTGAGCTGTCCTCAGCTGCCCACTTCCCTGCCCTGTTCCTGGCCACCCCCCCCCCCCGCATGATGCTGGGAGAGTTGGGATCGGTGCAGCCCCCCAGTCACTTTCCAGGATGTGCACCCACCCAACAGGGTCCTTATGTTCAGGGAGTGTCGCATTAAATAGCAAAAGATGCTTTGACAGATTGCAGAAGAAGGAAAATGCTTATTGCCTGTGCATTGAACATGGAACCCAGGATTTTCACCTTCGCTGTTTTCATGGGTGAGGGCAAGGACCCTTTCTCCCCACCTTCCCAGGAAAAAAACATGTTGTTGGGAAAGTAATCCACTTCTTTGAAGAACTTAAAATTGGTTTCACAATTTGTGAACTTGAAGCCACAGTTCTGTCTGTTTTTAACAGGAAAGTCATTAAATGTTTCATCCAAGTCGGAAAGAAAAATAAAGCAAAACTCTGGGCATTTTGTAAACTTCCATGGGGGATGATTCTAAAGTCATTTCTTGAGGGGGTGCATGTAACATGTCCATCCCCTCAACTTGGATGAAGCCACATCTTTAAGGATGTTTTTATTCCCCACACCTAATCTCTGTGAGCTGCTGCTATAAATTCTAACGAGCATTTGAGTAAATCTAGCAGCTGGACAAGGATGCAAAAGAGAGAAATATATGGACCATTAGCTTCTGGAAAAGTAAACTTGGATAGGACTAGTCCTTTAATTTAACCCCCACATGACTTGTCTGGTTTAATCCCCTGGGTGATTTAAGGTTCCTATGTGGACCGAAAGCACATATATGATTGCCCATCTGTGAGAGAATCAGGGATAAGGAGGGCTGAAAATGACTTTAACTTTAAAAACACTCATCTTGAGCTATGTGAATCATAAACAACCCAAACAGGACAGTCTCTTCAAGTTTCAACTTATAAGAACAATTTAAAAACAAAACGACCCAAACCACACATTTAAGATCCCTGAAGTGAATGAATCAAAGCCTTAGAATGTTCCATTTGAATGAATTGGACACACCTCATCGAAAAAATTACATTTAAATTGCATTAAGCCTCCAGGTCTCAGTGTACCTGGATCAAGGGGCAGGACCAAGTCCATAGCTGACTTTGCTGTTGCTGACCTCATGCAGCCAGAAAAGAATAGACGCGTGTGGCTTCACCATGATGTGCGGGCCCCATTTGGGGGTGATGTGCATTTGCTTATTTATTTCTTGTGAACTTGTTTGACAGATGATATCCAATTCTTCATTTTTGTTCATTTAAAAGATAGGCAATTAACTTGCCCCGTCTGCCCCCTGTTTTGGAAGTCAGAGAGAGTGAACCCCAGAACCCAGGCCTGTGCTGTAAGTCCACTCCATTGAGAGACAGGGGCTACCCTGGGCATCAGGCAAAGCTTAGAGTGACACAGAACAGATGCTGCTTTAGTGACAGTCCCGTGTCCTAGAGGCAATTGACCTTGGGGACACCACTCTCACTCAGTGTGGAGAGGTGGTGAACTTGCTCTGCCTTTTATCTCCCAGGCCTGGCTCTTAGGACCTTGTCCATTAGCACCTTACCACTCACACTTTGCCCATGAGCACGTCAACCCTGGTGGGGGCGGGTGAAAACTTGTATTCGAGTTGATAAAATTCCTTAGATTTTCTCCTAAGCAGACACAGACTGAAAAGAACTTCCCAGTTTTGACTCATCTACTTTTCCTTCTTTAAACAACAAAAAAATAGTTTACATGGCCCTCCCTGGTGGAGCAGTGGGTTCAAGCACAGCACTAAGAAGCTAAACCCACTTCCGCATGAGTTCGATCCCCTGCCCCAGAGGTGACCCACATGGCGCGGCAGACTTCTCCCGATTCTCCCGATTCTCCCGCTGCTCCCCTCAGCAGTGTACTTTGTCAGTCGCCTGTTCTGCTCCCCACTCTGTCTCTGGTGAATCCTCTCACCACCCCTGCACTCTGGTCTGTACCCCAGTTCTGTACACATAAATAAATAAATCTTTTTTTTAAAATGTTTGTGGTTAAGTCACTGAAATTAAAGACTTAGTTATGAGAACCACTTTGAATGTCTATCTAGTAGCGAAGAAACCCCGCCGCCCGAAACCAAAGCTCCTTTTTGGTTACCGATTTCTAGGAGAGTGTATTGAGGACCCAGAAGTAGTGTGTGTGTGTGGGGGGGTGGGGGTGGGGGTGGTCCTCTTTCCTTTCCCTGGGAGCCCTGAGAATTGGGGAACTTACTCAGGAGATACTCTGCCGTGTCCTGCTCGTAATCAGCATCTTCAGGGAAGTGGTCTATCTTCTTGCACACGCCTCGGAAAGCCCCTGTAGGAACAAACGTGGTCCTGAGGGAGGGAGGAGGCTTCCCAGACCCCCACTCCCGTGGGCAGATCCTTCTCTGGTTGCCACTGGACGCTCCTCACCTGCCCATCACCATCCTTCTCAGGGCATGAAAAGGAACCCAGTCCAGGGAAAGACAAAAATAAAAAGCAGAAGGCTTTTTGTAGCAACATGGATGGAGCCAGAAGGGATCATGCTCAGTGAAATAGGTCAGAAGGAAAAAGAAAACGATTAGATGGTTTTAATTATAGGAGGAATGTAGGGGACCCAAATAAGGGATCAGGACAAAAAAAATGATAATAAAACAAAATTAACAGGCCACTATGAATCAGAGATATTCTGCAGGAGAGGGAGAGGGATCAAAACAGAGGTGGGAAGAGTGCAAGGGACAATGGCGATGGCACAGGGGTGGAGTGGTGGCGGGAATTTTACAAGGAGTACACCCAAGAGAAGAAAGCATATATTGTGAAAAAATGAACAATGATGTAAAAATATTTGTATATTAAAAAAAAAAAAGCAGAAGGCTAAAATTTTCTGCTCCCTAGATTTTCCATGATGCTGGCATCTACTTAGAAGAGCAAAGAGCAAAGATGTAGGAAGCAAAAACATTCATTATGAGCACCATCTTGTTTTATATTTTCCTCTTCACCTCCTCACCCACCCCAACTGCATTCTGGAGTGGGGAAAAGGAATGGCATTTACAGGTGAAGAAACCGTGCATGAGAATTTTTCTGGCACTCACACGGGTAAGGACGAGAGCCCAGGTTCCTATCCACATCTGCTGAATCCGAGGTGCAGATTCTAGGCTTAGATCTGGAAACAGCCTGCTCTCCCTAGTAATGCTCATTTCTGACACCGCCATCCTCAGATCTGCCCCTCACCCAGGATTACAGCTTTCTGGGCTCCGCTGTGGCCTCCCCCCTTCAGGAGACACAGAGTTTTCCCATTCTGTCCTGGGAAAACCAAATGCATTTAGCTTCCTTTTCTTTCTTCAACATCAGTTTGACCTACTCATTGTGTGTGCTTGTGAACTAGCCAATTAACCCATCTCTGGGGCAACCACTGTCTCTGCCACTTCTTAGAAATGACAAACGTTTGCAGAACCTCTCACCACAGCACAGCACGCAATGATATGTAACAGGCTGGAGGTGAGAGGCAGGGTGGTGTCGTGGGCAGCAGGCAAGGTTTGGAGTCACACAGTGCAGGTCTAAGATTCCAGAGCACTTACTGTAAGAGTTGAATAAGGCGATCCCTGAGACCAGATCATTTCTGCCCAACTCTAGGCACATCATAGTAATAGTCAATACTTCTGGTGAGCATCCAGTGGGTCAGGCACAGAGTGAACCTGATCTTCCTGATCCCATTTACTCTTGTCTGCTAGCTTGGGGGTAGGGGCTATTGGTACTGACATTTGGTGATGAGCAATATAGCACCACAGCTGATGAGAGGGGATGAATCTTTTAAATCCAGGCTTCAGGGCCTCTCTGCTGGCACAGAGGTAAAAATCTCAGTGCTATCAAGATATCTCAAGCCACTGCGACTCAAGTTCAATCCCCGGCCAGGGAGCTCACCCACATGGCGCAGCAGACCTCTCCTGTCTCCTCCGCTGCCCCCCTCAGCAGTGTGTTTCAGTGAATCTGCCTGTTCTGTTCCCCGCTCTGTCTCTGGTGAATCCTCTCACCTCTGGCTTACCCCCCAGTTCTTATATGCATAAATAAATAAAAATAAATATTTTAAAGAAAATCCAGGTTTCAAAGTCCATTGCTTTTCCCATTTACTACGATTAGAAGCCATTGTTGTTTTATGCCCATTTTGATCATATTATGAGCCATATATTTACCTCTTACGCTAAGTGGGCTTCCAGCAGAGGCGTTTCACCATCATGTACAGAATATGAAAGCATCCCCCTTGGTTCTGAGTCTCCACTCACTGGGCGAAGAATGGACGCAGAAGCCCAAGAAGAAGAGTAAACTTGAAGACTCAAGAAGAGTCTAAAAAGAAAGCCTGACTCAAAGCTTCTTCCTTGGTATTGCAAAAAGGTCTTCATTTTTCGTGTTCAGGTATTCAAATTTTATTCATCTATTTCTATTTGTTTTTCAGCCCTATCCCCTTTCCACCTGGTTGGACAAAATACCAACACACACCAGGCACTCCTGACCCACCAGCTGCCACTTGAAGCACACTACCCTTTTGGTTCTCTGTAGGGCTCCGACAGCCTGAGGGGGTTGCCGTCTTAATGATCCCTATTTTACCATGCACCTTAGTGAACTAGTGTGTTCCCAGGGACACAGCTATAAGAGGCTGTGGAAGTGAGTCTGCTCCCAAGTCAAAGTCCCTGCCCACTACTGTGCATTGCATTCTTCTCAACAAAATTAAGACTTGTAAGCAAAGTCCTTCATCAGGCAGTGTTATAGTCCTCCCGCTTGGTGCTCCTCCCACATAGTTCTCCTCCCATTTGGTGCTCCTCCCTCTTGGTGTTCCTCCCACGTGATGCTCCTCCCACATGCTGCTCCTCTCCCATGCTGCTCCTCCCACATGGTGCTCCTCCCTCATGGTGTTTCTCCCACATGATGCTCCTCTCACATGCTGCTCCTCCCACGTGATGCTCCTCCCACATGGTGCTCCTCCCATTTAGTGCTCCTCTCACATGATGCTCCTCCCTCTTGGTGTTCCCCCCACATGATGCTCCTCCCTTTTGGTGTTCCCCCCACATGGTGCTCCTCCCTTTTGGTGTTCCCCCCACATGGTGCTCCTCCCTCTTGGTGTTCTTCCCTCTCAGTGCTCCTCCCTCTTGGTGTTCCTCCCACTTGGTGCTCCTCCCTCTTTATGCTCCTCCTGCTGATATCAGTGGGGCAGTGGATCTGTTTTCTCATCGACTATGCTTTTCCCATGAGACCCAGCAGCAGCTCCTGGGCAAGGCAGTGGTGGGGGCACCACCTATGTGAACTGTTTTACCCACAGGGAAGATTTCAAAGGAAGGAAAGTTTCCATTGAAGATGGAATTCAAACATTAAGAAAACAGACAAGCCAGACCATGTGGGAATAAGGCGCTTCACGCCTGCCTGCATCTGCTTGTGGAATGGGTGTTACCCAAGGGGTTTTAGGCAGCTTGAAATTAGGTTGAGAGCCAGCTGAGAGCTCTCCTGGAGAACCAGCCACCCGTCTTTAATAGCCTAAAGCAGCCCACCACCTGTCTTTGTGCCCTGTAACCCACTAAACAGGGTTTTTGCATCGTTAAGTGTTTGGAAGAAAAAACAAACAAAAGGAAAAGATTGTTTCAACTGGACACCAGCCTCTCCTGGCGGCAAGCTCTCATTTTCTTCTTCTACAGAATGAAGATAGTCTTGGAATTGTCACTAGAATTCACTGAGGCAGTGAGAGTAGTTACAGCACCAATGTTCTCAAACCTTTGTCAAGCAATGGCTTCAGCACTTAGCACAGTGCTGGCCCATAGTAAGAACTCAATAAACTATAGTTATTACTACCATTGGTTCAGGTAGGGATTTCAGAACATTGGTGCCACAGAGAGAGTTTTAAAGGCAATAGGAAAGGGAATCAAGAATTTCCCTGAGGAAGACTCCACACTGAAATGAAGTTGCTGGCACCCAAGTCAAACACTCATCAAAAAAGTGAACTTGGCCATTCATGTAAGAAGCATATTGCTAGCTCCCAGAAATAACCGTTATTTAGCATTTCTGTCTCTTTCCTCCCAGGCTTTTTTTCCCCCTCGGTGCTTTCACACACAAGCAGTTTTACAAAATCGGGATCGGGCTGTTCTCACATTTTCTCATGAGTATTTCCCCATATCAGTAAATCTAAGAAAAGTAGGATTGGACTTGCCCACAAGAGACAGGGCAAGGGAGGATGAGACTCACATCTGCCCTGCAAGACAAAATCGGGCTACCCAGACACGCACAGACCCAGAAGGGGTTAAGCTAAGGCTCTGGGGTAGAGAGAAACAGAAACCAGCCGGGTGGTGGGTGTTTGGGGACTGGTCTGGTGGGGCCCCGAGGTCAGGCAGGTATGAGAGCTTGGCTGTGAGAACACAGGGTCCTGCAGTGGAAGATGGGGCAGGTGGGCAGGAGGGGACGAGGCATCGTTGGCTGGCTGGCTTGGTGGGGACGACAGCCTCCTCCTGGAAGAGGAAACCGTGTTCATGAAGCAAGATGATCACAGCTGAGGTCCAGCTCGGACAAGGGAGGAACACGTCATGTAAGGTGGACGCCTTCTTGTAGTCTGGATGTCCCAGTAAGACCAAGAGGGAAATAAGGATGCCCGTATTATGTACCCTGATTCTACAAGTTCTAGGGCAAGAAGAAATAAAATAGAATGAAGAGAGAGGCAGAAAAATGGGGTAAATTGATCATTTTTTTCCCCATCTGAGGTGCTAGAATAGTCTTCTTGGGAAGTTAATGGCAATTTGCCAGGAAAAAAAATAGAATGAATGAAAGATCTGTTACAATGACCTCATCAGAGACATTAAACCATAAAAATAAAGTTGTTATGGTTAAGTCATGGTGCAACTGACATTTAAAAATAACATATATTAGGATTTTTTTAATGCAGAGCAATATTCTAAAGAAGCAGTCCATTATCCCATGTTCAGATAATCCCTGTTTAATTAAAAGAATTTATGTATATCATTAGAAGAGCCAAACAGTAGCTAGAGGAGAGCATCCGATTTAAAGCCCTTCCCTCATCACCCAAAATTCTCACACCTGATATTTTAGTAGAGTGGTTTTTGTTACTGAATGTTGAATGAAATCATGTCTAAGCTGAGACCTGAAGGTTAATTAGAAGTTAATCAGAGTAAGGGAGGTGTGTGCTCCAGGCAGGGTGGAAAACCACATGTGATGATGAGATAGAGGGAGAGAAAAAGTCCTTTAGGAACTTAGGTAGTGAGGGCATTTAGAGGCTCTGTGGTGTTTGGCCTGGGGGACACATCCAGGGTCACAGGTGAGATGCAGTGAGATGCTGGTGACCTG